TGTTTATTTATATCCCGCCTTCCTCCCAATATAGGGATTCAAGGCGGCTAACAAATCTAAAACAGTCCAAGTTAAAACAGTAGAAAACATTAAAAATACAAAGTTTTTTTTAAAAAAAACTTAACAGTCCCCCATGTTACCTGGTGCCAGGAATGGGACTTCTGCCCTCTGGGGGCGATACTTCCAGGGCAGTACTTTTTCCCCCCACCCTCCTGGGCCTTCAGCTGCCTCTCCAGAGATGCATCCTGCTAGTGACTTACAAAGGCACATGTCTTATGCCTGTGTAACTCACTTTTTGTTGTTGTGGAGATCAAATTTTGCTATAAAGTTGCTATAAAATTTGCTATAGGTTAAACCTGCAAATGTGGAGGGGTGACTATACTTTAATTCTGGGATGGCCTTGGTTTGCTCCAATACTGATAGGCACTGCACATAATACATTGTGATAAAAACTAGCATTCTGATCTACCTGTACTTATGTGTAACAATTGATGGTTACAGATATAAATCTGTGGGTAAATAGAAATACTGGCAGTTTAGCAAGACTTGGATGCTCATCTGGATGCTCATCTGCACTGACAATGTATACACAGTTTGATCAAGGTACAGAAAACAAACTCGATTAGGGATTAAATTCTACATTTTTGTCACAATGTTTAATTTTGCAGAACTCCAAATGAATTTAAAACTTAAGAGCAGAACATTCTTAAATACAGCTGTAATATAACAAATACAGCTATAATATTTTTAGGAGGCAATATAAAAATGTTTGAAACCTTACCTCTTTATCTTTTTTACTCTTCTTTATTTTCATCTTAATTTTCTTTCCTGTGATCATACTGTAGTTTTGATTCTTCCTTTTATCTTTCAAGTACTAAAATAACACATGATGATTCAAAAACAAACAAATATGTACCAGGTTAAAATATTTATAGTAATAATAAGTTATGAATCATATTTTCCAGAAATACCTGTGGCCTATTTCATGCCAAGCATGGGAAAATTTTTAAGAATTAAACCTCTTGAGAAAAAAAAGAGCAAGAAACTAGAAGCTATAACAAGCTGAAGTTACTAAAAACAAGTTACACTGGCCTCATGGCTACCACCTCATGAAAAGTCAAGCAAAGATTAATAAACATTACTGATTATTAACACTATGCTAACACTCTTCTACATCTTGCTTTCAAGCAGTTTTTAGAAAATAAAATGAGATAGAGCTGAGACACTGAGAATGAGCAGCTCCATTTTGATTGCAAGGGTACTTCCAAAACCACTTTTAAATTGTTAGTGAAAACAGAAGATCAATTAATATTCTAGGGGCACTGGATGAACCAAAATAAATGTGGCCTTGATGTGATCTAGATCAGTGATGGCGAACCTTTTAGAAGCCAAATGCCCAAATTAAAGGGCCTTCCGGCACTGGGTGTTACCTGGTGCCGGGGTGGGACTTCTGCCCCCCGGGGGCAGTACTTTCAGGATGGTACTTCTTCCCTCCACCCACCCACCCCCCATGGCCTTCAGCTGCCTCTCCAGGGACAACTGAAGGCTCAGGAGGGAAAGGGGGGAAGAAGTGGAACAGGCATGTCTCCGGAGAGGCAGCTGAAGGCCGAGGAGGATTGAGGAGGAGGAGGAACAGGCGTGTGACTCTTCTTCCACCTCCCTGCCCTCCGTGTACCAGAGGAAATGGCTTCACATGCCATCTTTGGCACACGAATCATAGGTTGGCTATCACAGATCTAGATGAAAGATTGTTGTAGGCCTCACGTGGGAGGGACTGCTGTTGTTGTGTGTCTTCAAGTCATTTCTGACATGACAACCCTAAGGCATCCCTATCATGGGATTTTCTTGACAAGATGTGTTTAGAGGAGGAATTGAACCCTGGTCTCCAAAGTCATAATCCAACACGTAAACTACTACATCACACTGACTCTCAAGAAATTTAATAGATATTGTTTAAACAGCAATAAATAGTAAATAATAATAATAATAATTTATTTCTTATATCCCACCTTTTGCCTAAGCAAAATGATCCAAAGACAACAGCCCTCTAATACTGAAAATGCTAACAACCAACCTTTTCAAATTATTTTAAATTCTAAAACTGCAATATTTACAAATGTACTATAGAATTCTAATTCCCCTTCATTGGAAGAAAAATCAAGCCCACTGTAAGTACTGGAAGGTTAGGTGACACTGAGGAAGAATGGCAAGTTAGGTGACACTGAGGAAGAATGGAAAGGTGCTGTTGATTCACAGCTCCAGATCTCACAAAACTGGCCAAGACTTCAGCATCAGCAATTGAACCAATAGATCAACTCAATCTGCTTAAACTAATACCAAAAGCACAAATGAAATCTGCTGAAAAGTTTCTCTTAAGGTTCACTATGATCAATTACAGCTGACAGTGTGGTGTTTTGATCAAGATATCATGAAATCTGAATTCAGAACCTTACTCTATCATGAAAATGACTAGGTGACTTTGGGGCAGAAACACACTATCAGACTAAGGAGAAAAATATTTGTCTTGCACCTACCTTAGAAAGTTGGACAGGGCCTGATTTGTCTTTCTTTTTTTTCTTTTCTTTCTTTTTCTTTAACTTATCTTTTTTCCTCTTCTAAAAATGAGAAAAAGATACCATAGGGATTTTTTGTTCACAATAGTGACCGCAGAGAAACCACATACAGGTCCACATTAATTCAGGAGCTACCTATGCAAGGGTCTGACAGACAGCTGGAAGATTTAGGAGATTTAGGGCCTAAGCAGACTGCCAGAAATAGTGCACATTAAATTGAGGCACTGCCCTGGCTCAGGGCTAAGGAATCATGGGAACTGTATTTTATTGTGGCACCAGAGCTCTCTGACAGAGAAGGCTCAATGTCTCAGAAAAAAAATACAATTCTCATGATTCCCTAGCACAGGGCAGTGCCTCAATTTAATGTGCACTATTTCTAGCAGTCGGCCTGTAGTCTAAAAACCTAACTTTTCCAAGCCCTGACAGATTAAAGGGAGGAATGTCATCTGCTGAATATGAAGGCACCAAACCATGCAATTAACCCTAATCTGCACCAGTTTGGTGCTCCAGTGTTCTTAGTCCTTACATGGAAGCCTCATCTAGGACTTAAAAAGTATCATCACAATGTCAGTAGTCTGCAAAATTCCTACTGCTTCTTCTGATAACTTGTTTTCAGAGCCCAGAGACAACAGCCTTATGGGCTACCCACATTATTTATCCATCATATGAGGAACAGTGTGATAGCAACTTAGTCACATTTCTGCTGAGTTAAACTGACAATGAGATATGCTTTTCCATGGATATGGAGTTCACAAAGTCATAAAGTCAGCTGAAAAACAAGCAGCCATCATATGACACTGTAGTTCACACCAGCAATAAGAGGCAGCATGAAAGACAGACAGCAAAAGGGGGATGGGAACATAATCAGAGGTTGTCAGGTGTTTCTCATCAATGAAAACTATCAATAGGAAGTTGGCCCAACCACCGCACACAGTATCTACCTGGAGTATAAATCATATTCTGGATTAATTCAAAGTAGTAATGAAAAACTAAGATTTCTTCTCAGAAACATCATGTGCCAAACAAAGCAACATATTTTCTTTAAAGCAAGTATAAAGTATATGTATACTGATTTTCACTTTTTTGTTGATAACTCATGGCGGCCCTATGGATGAGACATCTCCAAGACCCTCTGTCCTCCATTGCTCTGCTTAATTCCTGCAACCCCTTAATACCCATGACCTTTTTAATAGAGTCCATCCATCTGGCATGTGGCCTTCCTCTTCCTACTTCCCTCCACCTTCCCGAGCATTGTTGTCTTTTCCAGAGTCCTCCTTTCTCATGTTGTGTCCAAAGTACGACAGTCTAAGTCTTGTCATCTTGGCTTCTAGGAATATCTCTGCTCTAGGACTCATTTGTTTGTCTTTTTGGCTGTCCATGGGATCCTCAGCACTCTTCTTCAGCACCACATCTCAAATGAATTGATTTTCTTCCTATCGTTTTTCTTAACTGTCCAGCTCTCACATCCATACATTGTAATAGGGAATACAATGGCTTGTACGATTCTAACTTTTATTCTGATTTGTATATTTTTGTTAAGGAGCCCTGGTGGCACAGTGGTTAAATGCATGTACTGCAGCCACTCACTCATAAACCACAAGGTTGCAAGTTCAATACTAGCCAGGGCTCAGGCTAGACTCAGACCTGCATCCTCCCGAGGTCGCTAAAGTGAGTACCCAGCTGTTGGGGGGCAATGAGGTTACAGTTGTAAACTGCTTAGGCACTGCATAGTGCGGTATGAAGCAGTATATAAATGAAGCTGCTTTGCTTTGCTTTGTATTTTAGAATATTTTCTAAATCTTTCATAGCCACCCTCCCCATTCTTAGTCGTCTTCTGATTTCCTGACTGCAGTCCCAATTTCTATCAATGTTTGATCCCAGGTATGGGAATTCTTTTACTATTTCTATTTCTTCATTGTCTGGGTTGAACTTGTGAAGTTTACTTAACTGAACTTATTTTTACCTTTTTGTTGTGTTTTTCCTTTTTCCTCTTCTTTGATTTAGATTTGGAAGCATCTAAACATTAAGATTTTTAAAAGTGCATGTTAGTGCTTGAACAATACAATCTAAATTAAGGGTTAGTTAACAAAAGTCAAGATTCCAAAGTTGCCATCTAAACAAAATTTTGGAAATTAGGAGCAAAATATGATGGCACCATCAGATTACATTCTATGTAACTCATATTTTAAAATCTCTCTTTAAGCATCAACTGAAAAATTGAGAAAAATTAGCATTCATGCATTTATAATGCTTTCTTTAAAGTCCCAACCACCATCTATAAATTGCTGCATAAAATTTGGTGGTTGTTCCTATGGTAATCTTAATCACAGGGTTTCCTTTGCAAAATTTGCTAGGAGAGGGTTTGCCCTTGCCTTCTTCTGAAGCTGAGAGTGTGTAACTTACCCAAAGTCGCCCAGTGGGCTTCCATGACAGAGCAGGGATTCAAACCCTGGCCTCTTAGTGTCCTAGTCCAACACTCAAACCACTACACCATGCTGGCTCTCTGCATAAAATCAGTAAAGTTTTAAAAGAAGCAGGAGTAGGATTTATTGGAGCAATTGTTGAAGGAAAAGAAAGCTCCCAGAAAATTTAAGTGTCCAATGGCCATTCCTTGCAAGCATCTCCACAATGCTAAGGTCCACTAAGATAGCACATAAGTGCACATCTAACAATCCAGGTATGTGTTTTCACTTGTTTTAGGCCTCAAAGTGGTCGATACTGATTGAATTTATGTCAGTGTGTGACAACATCATCTGTAAAAAATAAATAAAAGATTTCTTCACAGTAGTGAAATAATTTTTACCTCTACTACTTGAACTGCTTCTGCTGCCTGAAGCTGAGGGCCTTGAAGATGACCTTGAAGAGGAAGATGATGAAGAACTAGATGATGTAGTGGAAGAAATGGAAGAGGATCTGCTTCTACTACGTTTTCGCTTTTTCTTCTCTCTCTCTTAAAGAAAAAAAATACAGTGTGGGAAACTGTAGGACTGATTTTTCTGTGTACTAGGAAATGATGGTTTTAAGACAATCTTTTAAAATAAAAGCTCACTTTAGCTTTTAAAATCCTTGTTGGTGATCCTGAGGTCTGTGAGAATGGGACAAATAAACAGATAAGTTTTTATCAAGATGGTTGGTTGTAGCACTGTAGGACAACAAAGCCAATTCACACGGCAATTTGTTAAATATTGAAGACAAAGGAACTTATTATCGTATATACTTGACTATACGTCAACCTCATCTATAAGTCAAGGGCAGGTTTGGGGGCAAAATTAAGGATTTTGATATGACCTGTGGATAAGTCGAGGGTAAAATTTAGAGGTATGTAATAAAGGATGCAAAGGAATGGAAAATGAGACCAAAAAACTTACAAAATTCCAGGAGGCATAACTGTTTGTGCTCTCCCTAAAGCCTAGCTAAATGAGAAAGTAGAGGGCATCAGTGCTTCCAGAACAGATTACACTCTTGACTTTCACCAGGGGATGGTTCCTTTTAAAATAAAAGTTTAAATAGAGTACTTACATTGACCTGCGGATAAGTTGACTCAGGTTTCTTGGGTCTATATTTTTACTAAAATTTCTAGACTTATGCATGAGTATATACAGTATTTATTATATGCATTTGTATCCACCGTAGTCCCCCTCAATTAGTGAGGGATCCATTCAGGACCCCCTCGTGAAAATGGCCCCTGGCAAATATTTGAGCCCCATTGAAAATAATGGCACATGTGCCTGTGGCGTGCATGGGGGGCACACACAGGCACACACTGCCATTATAAACCTCCCCACTTGTCCCTCCTGCAAAGAGCAGGACCACAGACTTGAAGTCCGCAAACGGGGAAGGACAACTGCATAACCAAGCTCTAGCTGTTGTACGGTTAAAAAACCCCACTAACAATGAAAAGATCTAAAAATACAATGGCAAAACAAACATGATAAATCCCATCCCATCTCCCACCCTGGGAGAAAGTGTTACCCAAAATACCAGGGGCCTAAGAGGGCACTCACAATCAATATTTAATAGGGGAATTTTATTATCTCAATTACAGCAGCTGAGAGGGCTTGGGCAAATCAAAGCAGGGATCAAGCCTGTGTAAAGAGCCCTGGTGGTGCAGTGTTTAAATACTTGTACTGCAGCTACTCACTCGCAAACCACAAGGTTGTGAGTTCAATACCAGCCAGGAGGCTCAGGCTCAACTTAGGCTTGCATCTTTCCAAGGTTGCTAAAATGAGTACCCAGATTGTTGGGGGCAATTAGCTTGCACATTGTAAACTGCTTAGGGAGTGCTTAAGTGCACTGAGGGAAATGTATTTGGACTGAAAGAATAGTTGAATGCTATCATTGCCAAATGCATTAAATGATAAGTTATGTTTGCAATATAATATAGAGATATGTAAATATGTGATTGTGCAAAGTTGTAACAGTATGAATAGGATATTGTTTTAAATGTTTTAAATGTTTAATAATAATAATAATAATAAATTTTATTTATAGCCCACCCCTCTATATAGCCGCAAATGTGGAGGGCCGACTGTACATGAGAGTGCAAAAGTCTAGTATGCCCTTCAAGGAATGGAGGCAGGGGTAAAGAACTGTATAGGGTTGGGGGTTGATTCTTATCCTGTATCCCTCTGTGGGCTGGATAATATTAGGTGCATGGCTGCTGAGTCACAGCACAGGCAAGTGCTGCTGTTGTCTTTAGAATCATAGATCTTAGAATCATAGAGTTGGAAGAGACCACAAAGGCCATCCAGTCCAACCCCCTGCCATGTAGGAACTCTCAATCCTACCCAACAGATGGCCATCCTCTGTTTAAAGACCTCCAAATAAGGAGACTCCACCACTCTCCAAGAGAATATGTTCCACTGTGGAATAGCCCTTACTGTCAGGAAGTTCCTCCTAATGTTGAGGTGGAATCTCTTTTCCTGTAGCTTGCATCCATTGTTCTGGGTCCTCTTCTCTGGAGCAGCAGTTAATGATTAGAGACAATGGTGTGGATTCTTCTCCCTGCAGCTAATTTCCTACAGAAGGTGGGGCTTCAGGAGATGGTAGGGGTGACCTGGGGATCCGGGCATGCTTGAATTTAACCCTCAGGCCCTTTCCTGATGCCACTGTAAACAGACTAAAGAGTCCCTCTTACCTCTAGCTTGTGTCTTCTCTTGTGATGTTGCATGCAATGTCCCACCTTTCTCTTCAGGTCTGTTATCCATATCTATAATATATACATACACATATATTTATATTTTTACACACACACACACACACACACACATGCACACGATTGCCAATATATTTTCTACAAAAGGAATTTAAAAACATCCTAGGCAGTAAAGATGAAGTATCTCCACTATCCAGTTCTATTACTTACATTGTTCAGGAAAGACTGATTTACATGTACCTACATGGTTTCATGTGGTTAAAGTGAACATTTAGTAAGATAAGGTGTTTCTAAAGAAAGTAGCAAAATAATCCTTTTAAAAATATATATTTAAAAAAAAAAAAGAAACCTGAGGCCTCTCCTTTCTCCTCCCACTGAGCTTCACCCCACTCACAGCATCTCCAGCATTTTGAAGGGATGCAGGTGAACACTACAGCCGGTTTTTGCCAGAAAGCAGACATTTAGGGAGCAGTTGTGTCACCCCATCTTATGCACCACATGCATCTGAGGAAGTAGGCTCAAGTCTACAAAAGCTCCTGCTCCCAGCTTCTCTCTTTCAGTTAGTCTCAAAGGTGCTACAAGATCCCTTGGCACACTGATTTTCCTGACTAATACAGCTATGTCTCTGAATTTTATCCCTATCTTAAGGTGCGGTTCACACTCCCTGCATGCCACTAGTGACAATCTTGCACGGCTATCTGAAAGATTAAACACACAAACAGGTGTCAGTTGTTGTTGATGTGTGCCTTCAAGTCTCTTCTGACTTCTGCTGGTCCTATCATGGGATTTTCTTAGCAATTTTCTTCAGAAAGTGTTTGGCATTGCCATCCTGAAGCTGAGAGAGAGTGGCTTGCCCCAGGTGATCTAACAGGTTTCCATGGCTGAGCAATAATTGAACCCCAGAGTCAGAGTCCAACACTCAAACCACTACGCCACACTGGGGCGGGGGGAGGAGGAAACCTCAGCAGGGGTGAGTTGTCCCTTTGTAAGCAAAAATACTCTTACAGGCTCTCTTCTCATGATGTGTCCGAAGTACAACAGCCTCAGTTTGGTCATCTTGGCTTCCAGGGAGTTTTCCAGCTTGATCTGCTCTAGGACCCACCTGTTGTCCTTTTGGCTGTCCCTGGGATCCTCAGTACTCTTCTCCAGCACC